GCTCATTAGAGTTTTTCTATCAAACAAATTACAATTACATACAAACATTACAAGTAGAGCCATAATCATCATTAGAACCATACTACCACCCATCATCTCCTATGGCTACGAAACATGGATTTTAACTCAAAAACTAACAAACGATATTTATCATCAATATACATTAAAAGATGTATTAAAGATAAATCTCTGTTCAGGAAAATTTTATGCCCAATTCAAAACAATGAATGGATAGGCACCAGAGCTGTTCAATTAACATCAGTATCCAGAGAATAAAATGGGCGGATCATGTTTCGAGGATGAAAGAAGAAAGACACCCTGAAATGCTAATAAACAGAAAAATGGAAAGAGACGATTGATAGCGATGCAAAAGAAATGCTATTGTGCGGGAATTGGAAGAAAGAAACAAGTTAGAGAAGTATGGAAGTAAAAGAAATGATGCCAAGAAATGGTTTGAACGACATTTTATAGAAAACTTTTGACGAGATTCTTGTAGGTGGTAATGTAGTTCCTGAAACTAATTATATCTATTCTTTATAATTTTTTTTTCTGCTTTCTATTTTTTATAAATATGTTAAATACGAAAAAGTAACCGTAGAGAAATATGAAAGGACGAATGATAAGAAGGCAAAACAAGAATAAGAGACAAATGTTTAACTTTCTTTTTCCATCTTTCTGGATTTTTTGACTTCTAATAATAAGCAAGCAAAACAGGATCGTATTAATTTTATCGTTTATTGAGAGATTATTGTAAATTTTTTGAGACACTTGTTGAAATGTTAGGAATCAGTAAGTACTTTAATAATCCATAAAGATGCGAAAAGAAAATCAAATAAATCAGCAAATAATTTTAATTTCTTGTTTACTTTAGAAGCTAGTTTGTCCGAAATTTTTAATTAAACAAAAAAGTTAAAAGAAAATAACCAAAATAATAAATTTATAATATTATTTATTTATTAATCTTATTATATTGAATAAATAAATTATGATATAATTACTAAAAATAGTTACTTACAATTTTCGAACCATATTTATAACTTTTTGTCACTTTAATAATTCACTTTTTCACGTTTCTTTCCTCTTCCTCGTATTCTTATTGTATTGGTACAATGGTCTGGTAAAAATAACCCCACCAATATGCACGGTACACATTTTATAAACGTTTTGTCGCCGTTGAATAACAGTAGAGATCTGTTGATATGGCTATAATATACTTATGTTATTTATTATACTTATGGATTTTCAAACCGTTTTGATACACAAACAATTTTGAATAAATAAACTTATGAAATCTCACGATAATCGTAAACAAGAAAATCATTTCCAGTAATCGAAATGAATTCTCGTCTCGTTTCAAAGAAATAATTTTTTTATGTTCAATTCTGTGATTTATGTGGTTTTTACGGTTTTGTTTATTGCAAACTTAAAAGTTTGTTTTAAAATTCCACGACGAGAATAATTGAAGTAAAAGGAATTTAAGTTTTTGTACGCTGTATAATTTCAGCTATAAGATAAGTTAGGTTATCTTATCGTTCTTTATGGTAGTTGACCAAAAATTTTTGAATTCAATTTCCATCTTTTGTAATAATTAAAGTCTGGATATCATAAAAGGAAATACAACAAAGTTTTACGTAAAATGTCCTCAAGGTGAGAAAGTTAATATAAACAAGTTTGCAAAACATCGTAAGTAAAGTGATTGATTTACAGTTAAATTTTATTAAGATTGTATAATTCATAGATTAGATACCAAGTAAAATGTAACAATTTTGAAAGCTTTAATTAATTGTCATAAATCTGTGGATGTCCTAGAAAATTGGTGTAAATCTGTCAAAATTTTTCTATATACTTTTGGAAATATATCTAAATTTTAGAAACCTTTTTATCCTTTCAAATCTTCGAACATAGCTAAATATTTATCAAATCTTGCTTGGAAATCTATTCGAAACCCTCTAGGAATTCTTAGATATATTTTCAAAATTGTTGAAAATTCAGATGTATTTCAACTTCACTACTAGAAATCTTGGATACTGGAATCTATTCAGCAATTTTAAGTTTATTAAGAATAATTAAGTACCTATAATAAATCATAAAAATACTTAGACATTCTGTATTCTAGGAAATGTTTTTCTAGAATATTCTTTGGAAACATTTATAAATCCTTGAAAATGCTCGGCTAATACATGGAAATTACTGAAAATGTATTACAAATTATTGGGAATATTTGGCAATCTTTGAAAACCGTCAATTTTTTAAAAATATAAATATTACTTAAGTTTGTGCTATAATTTGATGAGCACTAAAATATTGAAATTAACTGATGGTAATTTTGATTCTCCATAAAGAATGTTTGTTGAAATAAGTAACGCGTGTTATCATGTTAGGAGTGGGTGGGAAAGCTAAATCAGCTATGTGCTTTGATAGACTGATGGATGAGAAGAATTTGCAATTGTAAGAGTCTATCTTGATGAATGATTTGTACAGAAAAATCATTGGATGATTGCTCCTGTGAATGAGTTGAATGATGAATGAGACGATATTAATAGTAGTGACACCGAAATAAAACATTGTTTTGTTATTCGAGTCGAACTTTATTAACTAGAATTTCTCTGTAACTCGAACTGAACTACTATGGAATTTCTTCAACTTTTACTTCTATAAGTCGAATTTACCAAAGAATAAAATATTCGAATCTGTTTTGTAAGTAATTTTAACTATAGAATCAAACCACATAGACTCAGGCTCAGAAACTACAGACTCTTGAACCAAAACAAACCTAATGTTCTTATTATTTCAGAATCAGATGAGGGTTATGATAATCTTGAAAATGAAATACTTATCGCTGTGTCTACATTTGATGAAGCTTATTTCTATCTTAGAAAGCATAAAACCTTTGTGTTATCAAGAGAGAATGTTCCACATAATATTCGTAATTCTTTACATTTAATAGAAGCTTTTAATTTAAGCCAAAAGAAAATTACGGATTACTTTAAAAAACTTGATTAATTTTCTACTTACAATAGTATTAAGGTTTCTGTTTTAAATATACGTATTAGAAAAGTACATTTCTAATGTTTATCTTTAGAGCTGAAATTCTACTAATTTTTCTCTAACTCGAATTCTCCATAACTCGAAGTTTTTTTCCACTCTCTTAGTGTTTCGAGTTAGGGGAATTTCACTGTATTTAATTATGCAAAATGTAGAAATAAATATGTTATTGAAATAGAGTTCAGAGTCTTAGAATTCAAGAGCTTAGTTGTTTTGCAAAACACTAATTCCAAATATTTGAACCTAGGACTTAGATTACAGCATTTTTTTTGAAAGAATAGGCAACCAAATAGACGGTTATAAACAGATATAATTTAATTATAATTATAAAAAAGGGACTTTATTTCAATTGGACACCAAATAATATTATAAAATTTGAGAAAATACGTGTTTTTTTGAAACAAAATATTTATAAAATACAAAGCACGATAAAAAAGAAACAAAAAAACACTATTTCGATTCAAAACTCTAACATTTCAGTATTTAATCCTAGGAGTGAGCTATACATTTTGTAATGTTGTATTGAAAAGGTCAGTGTTAATCTAATAATCTGCTGATTTAGACGTTGAGAAAATAACAGATCTGCGCCCAGTATAAATCCACTACTAGCCGGTATGCAGAATTACATACCTATAAATTGTTTAAATTAAAATTCAAAAAAAACATATTTTCTTTCTGGACATATCTTTTCCCTTCTTAAATGAGATTCTTTACTAACAGACTTTTTATCTTCATCATGCCAACCTTTTAATGAGATTCTCTCACAAAAATCCAAAAGTTTCGTTAAGATAGACAAAGTCAAACAGCTTTTCTGCTTTTTTTTTCAATATATTGTTTCGAAAGTATTGCTCTTCTTCTTTTAACGTTACACATCCTCTTCCAGTTAATTTGGTTGTCAGCAACCCTGTTCCAATTCTTTATCTTCAAAATTTTTGCTCCTTCACCCTATCCTTCCATCACACACGTGATCTGCCCCTACTTCTTGTACCTATCATGGTCACCTTTAAGATTATACTTGTAGCTCTTCCCTTGTGTATTCTTGCAATGTGTCCAGCCCACTTGAGTCTTGTGATTTGATAAATCGTATGACGTCTTCGCCTCTTATTAAGTCCTGAAGCTCAAAATTCATTCTTCTTCGTGATCCCTCCTCCTCTGTCACTGGTCTGAATGTTTTACGGAGTATATTTTGATCAAAGACACTAATCCCCATTCTTATTTATCGGGCAGATGATTCCCATGTTCAATTTCTTCGGCATACGTTGTCCTTGCCATATTATTTTATGCAGTCTACATATAAGCTTCGTTTCAACCATCTGCACAAGTTCTAGCATGATTCCATATACGCACGGTGTTTTGTTTTCTTCGATATCCTGGATTCTGCTGGTTAGTTCTCCATCTATTAGGCACTACACAAACAAATTACAAATAAAATAAAATTCCTTTAAATTAATGAAACTGATTCGGATATTTCCGAAAATACTAAAAATATAATGGTATCCTAAATGGTAAAAGATTTTGGCTCATCGACTAAAAATCCTAAAAGTATCGGTAACAAATTTAATTTCTTGTTATAAGTTATTATCTATTAATTACGAGATGGCAGGAAAAGTATTCATATAACTTCCTATTAAAACTTATTCATACTAATTAATATTTTCAAGTTAACGTTATATAACACTTTAAATTTTAAAAATAAATGTTGATTCCATTTCTTCTGAAGTAAATAACTTTTTTTAAATACTCACTTAAAGTCCTTTAACAAATAAATTTAAATACGGAACCAGGAAGAATTGTATCAAGTTTACGAGGTCAAATTAACTGTAACATTTTATTTTACAACTAAAAACAATTTTTACCTTGTTTGTTAAAAAATGAATATTAACTTAAAAAAAACGTGCGTAATATGAAGGTAAAACACCGCATTCTTGCGGTGTGTTGAAAGCAAGAAAAACAGATTAGGATCATTAATTTATTAGTAACAAAATTTTCACAGCCGGATTGTAGCTCCTTTACTTGATTAACAAGGAGCTAAACAAGTGTATCTCACAAATAAATATAAAAAATAAAAAAAAAAAATAAATATGTACATATCAGTGCTTGTAAAAACTATAACTGTTATGGCTTAATGGAAATAACACAATAATTTATCACGTGTAAGTTCCTATGTTAATAATAAAATAAACCCCTTAGATACATCATAACATATTGCGTATGGATAAAGTTAACATCTGGGATACATTTTCGAACAAAAATTCTTTTCTCTTTTTCTTGTCTTCTGAAGATTCTTCGTTTAATTTGTTTGTTGGACATAACTAAATTAAACATCTGAAGTCTATTTATCCTTCTTAGGTGTATGTCCATATTGAATAAACCTCGAACACCACATAAAAACGTCATCTTTCTTTAAGCAACAATCCGGATAAACAGCGTTAGATTTCGTAATTTTTGCACATTTTTGACAGATATAAAGTTGATCTGCCTTAAAAAAAACACAAATTAATTACTCATTTAATAACAATCGAAATTTACTTACATCTTCTGCACAGAGCGACGGAATATAAGCTTTATAACCATCCGATGGCCTTGCGGTTGTAAACTCACAAATCATTAAAATAGTAATTGAGAAGCAAACTAAAAGTAATAATCCCTACAAACAAAATTAAACGATGATTTAAATAAATCTAAATTTCTTCCAGTTTTTTTTAAGTTAGAAAGAAATTTACCTTTAACTTAAAAATCATTTTTTTTGCTTCTCACGTCTTTTCTTATTAAAAGTAAATTTTAATGTAATACCGATCGAATTCGGTTACTAACTGATACAAGGAACTCTCCGCATCTGTTTATATATGAATATGACCTATTCAGTTGAATAAAGTCCAAATGGACCACGAGATAACGACTATCACGCTCTAGTTGCCGGTAACCTGTGTTGTTTTAAATGTTTAAAGCACCAGGAAAGATGCATTTTCATTTTGTGTACACAACATTTCTGTATTTTGAATTGGTGTTATTAATTTTTTGTATCTTTAAAATTAGATCTAATGCGGAAAATTAGATATAATAATAGGAATTTTTGTAAAAACTAGAACCACGTGGGTTTCAAACAAAACGTGATAACCTTTTCGTAGAGGAAATTAAAAAGTTGATAACATTTCAACTTTTTAAATTTAACGATTTTAATTTTTTTTACCTTAAATAATGATTTGAAATTAACAACAACTGAAAAGTAGAGAAAAGAGTGAATATGTTTATAAGTTTCAATTTTTTAAATGTTATACTACAAAATGTACAACCCAGCAATTATTTCGAAGATTTATGAACGATATAACATACTAAGTTGAAGACTTTGCTTGCTGCTACAAATAATTATAGAAGATAAAATAATTATTAAATTCGGTAATTAATGAGAGTGGCAACTGTAGTATATACTTTTTTTGAAATCTGGATTAGGAAATTGTGAAGTCTTTATTTCCTGCCACTGAAATATTGCACTGGTGTTTTGGAGTTTTAAAGGGAATTCTGACACATCAAAATTAGAAGTAGTTGAGGAAATGTATTAGCTGCAGTATGTTAGCAAGCTGTTAATAACAATGAAATTAACAAGCTGCTCAAAATGTTCTGGTGTCATTCGCAGACACAATTTGTACTCTTCCATATCTTCTAAAGCACGTTCAGTTAAGAGAACTGAAGAAGCCCCGAGCCCCGAGCATACTTTGTTTTTCCTTAACAGCTACAGTTACTTCTTCAAGCAAAAGATGCACATACCAATGCTTTTCGTACAGCTTTTCTTAAGACTAAACGACGATGACCAGGGTTCATTCTCGACACCTTCTGTACCATACTATTTTCAATTTAAGTGAAAACAGCTACTCTACCAAACTAAATAAAGTTGGATCGGCTTAAAAGTAGGCTAGTTACTCTACCACTAATTCTACTAATGAAAACCCGGCTTTACTCAAGCCGAACTGTACGGGAAGTAAATTGAAAAGAGTCCTAAAATGATATAACACTTCAAGTTACTGACAAAGATGGGAACCTTGTAATCCTAATATGGTAGCAGATATATTCAGGATTTTTCAGGATATATTTCAGGAGTTTGAGACATGAATGAAATTAAATTTTATCACTATTATTGAGTAAGGATCAAAATGCAGGTAGAATTTATTCTTATGGCACAATATTTCTTTGTTATTTTGGTTTTGATTTTTGAAAAGTATAACATAGAGAGCGGTGACATTTGTCATAGAAACATTAATAAATTCAAATAAATCAATCAATAGTTAAAAAGTGCCCGACAATATAAAGTAGTTAAAAACCGTTTCATAAATGAGGAAAACTCATCATTGTACATTAGAAAATGACGAGAAAGAGTTACAAAGACTCCCAAAATTTGCGACGTTTCGAGAAAAATTTATCAGACGCCACCAATTAAGTATTTTAATGTCTTTTAACCATCCCTTAGCACGTTTATACTATCGAACATACAGCGCTATTCGTGTCGCTCGAATCGAACATATAAACTCAGAGCACTGGTATATCATCCATCCTTTTAGTAAATTCAGGTTTTCCACTACAAATTTGGTTAAAAAAATGTATTTTCCTCACTTGCTTTTTTAATTTATTAGAAAACATTGGGAGTTATTTATGTCAATAGTTATGACATTTCTTTTAATTGTAACACCTTTAAACGTGGCATTCGGTAGTATAAGGTTACTTTGTACGACAATATTCTGTAATATAATTTGTATGATCGATTTTGGAATGAGATTTTTTACCGGATACACAATTGATCACTTAAAAGCGGTCGTCCTAGACCCTAAGATGATAAGACGGTAATTTATATTATTCGATATAAATTTTGGAATATATTTTAAATTAACTCATTGTTTTAGTCATTATTTAAAAAGTTTGGATTTTTATTTGGAAAGTATTTCAACTTTTCCATTTCTTCTGTTTGCTATGTTGGGTTGTTTGCTTGATAAGGAAAATACTTATCCTACATACATATCCACTTTATTTCTATTAAAAATGTTAAGATTGAAAAGTTTATTGGTTTATTCTGGACATGTTTTTGAGGTAATACTTTTTTATTGTTTTTATTTTAATATGTATAACTTATTTGATCGTTTTCATAGAATTTTTATATTGTTCATCGATGGTACTTAGTGCACTTAAAATTTTTTATTACTTTTGTTGTAACGTTACATTGGTTTGGATGTTTTATTCCAATCACGACTCGTTACACTGTGTTGTTTACAAAATATGAACCGACTTGTAAAAATTGGGGTGTTGCTAAAATTGATATTCAGCCTAACAACGAAACCGACATTGAAATTTATTATGAATCACTTTACACCGCTGCAAGATACCTTTTTTGTAACCAACTCGAAATTAAATTATATATTTTTTTAAATAAATTGTTAATTATATTTTTATTTCTTTTAGGTATTACAAGCAACAATCATCGAATTAATGCTTTACATCATATTTTCACATATATTCTTACAAGTTTAATTGGTTACTTCTTTTGGTGTTTTGCGTTAGGTTTGTTTAAAATAAATGAAATGAAAAATTGTATAATTTTTTTTTCTAGTTCTTTTCATCCAAACTTTGTTTCGAATAGACAACGCCGACATTCGTTATGAATCCGTTATGAATCAATTAAACAAATACATGAGACACAAACAGATTCCATTAAAAATGCAACAAAAACTCGTCGATTATTATGAGTTTAGCCTCGGAAAATCTTATTGTCGAGAAGCCACAGTTATCACTTTATTATCAAGTTTTTATTATTTAATTATTTTTTTAATCTTTCTAATATATCATTTTTTAAGAACGCCTTCAACATGAAGTAGTAATGCACGCAACGACAATGATGGCAAAAAACGTCACGTTTTTAAGAGAACTACCCGATGATATAATGTCAAACATTATAGCAAATATGAAGTTGGAAGTTTTTCTTCCAGGCGATCAAATTATGACGGCCGGAGCTCCAGCCACGGGAATGTACTTTATTAACACAGGAACAGTATGCGTTTATAGCGCGTCTGGAAGAGAAATATGCCATCTAGAGGATGGAAGTTATTTTGGTGAGGTCGGATTAATCACTCAAGAGAAAACCAATATCGCCAATGTGGTGGCTTTGGAAATAACAGAGGTTTATCGATTGGATAAGAACGATTTTTATCAACAGATTAAAGAAAATTTACCCGAATTGTACCGAAAAATGGAAAGTAAAGCTGAGAGAAGGAGAGAAAACACCAAGGTTATGGAAGAAATTCATCGAAAACAACAATTAGAAGCTACAATGAGAGTTCAGTTACAATGAAATTACTTAATTTAAAGTACTTTTATTTCAAATTAAATTAATTGCTAAATAAAATCAATTATTTTAATGATATTCTAAATTTCATAAGTATAGTATTAGTTTCAATAAAATCTGGAAGGTTTTGTTGTCGATCAGCTGAGTCATTCCGACGTAATTTTCTTTGTAGAATTATAATCCGAATAAAAAGGGTGTTTGCCAAGCAAACAATTTATATTAATGAGAATGTCAAAATGTTTTACGAAAATTACTTGAAGATATCAATTTCTAATTAAGATAAATCATGTACGACAAATAATACCAAGAGTACAATAACAACAATACATTTCAGAACACCAATGTTTTGGTGTCAACTTTTCAGTCAGGATGACTGCTATTTGCCAAAGTAGTATCCGAATATAGCAAATGTTTCGAAACCCTCCCCTATTGAATGTGACAATATTCTTCCAATTCCACCAAATTTGGAGAAGAAAACTGATGACGATATCGGCTGTGACATTAAAGACCTTCAAGAATCTGAATACATCGATTTAATTGATTATGAAGATTGTAATTTTCTGCCGCTTCTGTATGATCAGGCTGCACTAAATGATTTAGTCAGAGATTTAGGTTTACCTAAAGATAAATCTGAATTGTTAGGTTCACGACTGAAATAGAGAAATCTCCTTGCTCCTGGAACTACTGCCACCTGGTATAGACATCGAGGGAAGTCATTTATTAAGTTCTTCTCTGAACGTGGTAGCTACGTTTATTGTAATGAAGTCAGCACCCTCGTGCAAAAATGTGGATTTTCCAAAAATGCTCACGGATGTTTACAAAACAAAGCGACTTGGATGTGCTTTAACATTTCTTACTCGATACAATGATGAAGGAGATGAATACTTCAGCGAAATTGTGACCGGTGATGAACCTTAGGTTTGTCATGTCACTCCAGAATCCAAACAACTTTGTCGTCACTGGCGGCATCTTTCCATAAAAATTGTATAGAAAAGTTGGCTTTCCGCTACGACAAATGTCTAAACAATGTAAAACTGTATTACATGTAAAAATACATTTTGTTTTGAAAAAAATTTTTTGTTTCTTTTTTCAAACGGTACTAATTTATCGACACGCCTCGTATATGACCCTGCTCTAATTGGAGATTGTTTATTGATTCCTCTAAGAGAAGTTTGAAAGCAGTTTTGCTGTATAACTGCAATAAATACGCTTTCTTACCTGTTGTTGATAATGCACAAATGGAATCTATGTGGAGATTTGTAAATTGGCATGTTTCTTGAACAACAGTGGGGTTATAGAAAATACCCATGTTTTATATGTTTATGGGATAGCAGAGATAGGGAACAGCACTACATATGTTAAAAGGAGTTCACCTATTCGTATTAGTCTCGAAGCAGGAGATCCAAACATTCTCAAAGATTCATTGAATGATAATGCGATAAAGATCTTACAACCCCCACTTTATATCAAATTAGGAATAATGAAGCGGTTCGTAAAGGCGCTTAATAAAAATAGTGTTTGTTTTAAGTAACTTGCAGGTAAATATCCCAACTTGAGTGAAGCCAAAATAAAAGAAGGGATATTCGTTGGGCCACAGATTCAAGAATTGATGAAAACTGAAAAACTTGAAAATGTGACGATTTCGGATGAAAGAGATGCCTTCAAAGAAGTTGTCAATGGTTTCTTAAGCAATAATAAAGCTGCTAATTATAAGATGCTAGTCGCTGTGATGCTAAAAAACTTCAATAAATTAGGTTGTAACATGAGTGCGAAGTTGCACTATGTGCACTCTCATTTACATTGGTTTTCTGACAAATTAGGTGATGTTAGCGAAGATCAAGAAGTGGGTTTCCATCGGGATATAAAAGAAATTGTGAGACGGTATTAGGGAATATGGTCCATATCTATGCTAGCCGACTAGTTACATCAACGTGATGAGCCATGCTCAACACAAGAAGGATTTTCTCCATGTCAATAGCAAACACTTCCGCCTGGAATACAGTACAGTACATACCCAGGCTGCAAGCCTGCTTAATCCGACGTATCTAGCAGTATTCTCCTATCTCGACCCCTTCTGGCGTTTTTGATTCATCTGTGAACATGCAAATATCTGCCTGAACCAGAGAATTTTCGTTTTCGATCCAGGACTGCCGTTCAGGCAGTACAATCTGGTATCGAGCATTAATCACTGATAGTGACCCTGCTAATTTTCAAATATTCTAATAGAAAAATTCTAATAGTATGATTAAAAACATGATAATACTTAAAATACTTCTTTTTGAAATTAAATTTTTCTTGATCTTTATGATCTTGTTTCTAATTCTGACTTTGCCAATTTTTGCCATTCTTTGCAATTTTTCAAATTACGAAAATTGGTAACTAAAAAGGTTTCAGTCTAGATGTTGAATGTAGATAAAAGGTGGAATTCGTTCTGTATCACATAACAACATAACTATAGACGGCGTTGACATTTTCCATGGAAATATCAATAAATCCAAATAAATCAATCAATAGTTAGAATTTATAACATTTCAAATTAATTAAGAACCACATAATAAATGATGCAATTTCACAATTGTACATTAGAAGACGACAAGAAACAGTTTCAAAGAATCCCAAAATTTGCGTCGTTTCGAGAAAAATTTGTCAGGCGCCACCAATTAAGTATCTTAATGTCTTTTAATCATCCTTTAGCTCGTTTATACTATCGAACGTACAGCGCTATCCGTGTCGCTCGAATCGAACATATTAATTCGGCACACCGATATATTATTCATCCGTTTAGTGATTTCAGGTATTCCACTTCGAAATTTCTTTGGAAAATCTATTTTCCTAACATTCTTTTTAATTTATTAGAAAACGTTGGGAGTTATTTATGACAATACTTCTGACATTTCTTTTAATTATAACACCTTTAAACGTCGCATTCGGTCAAATAACGCTACTTTATTCGACAATTATTTGTGATATTATTTGTTTATTCGATGTTGGAATGAGATTTTTTACTGGATATACAGTCGATCACTTAAAAACGGTCGTGCTAGACCCTAAGATGATAAGAAGGTAAAAAAATCTGGTGTAAATTTATAATTTGTTTTAAATTAATACATTTTTTTAGTCATTATTTAAAAAGTTTGGATTTTTATTTAGAAAGTATTTCGAGTTTTCCATGTCTTATTTTTGCTTGTGTTGGTTGTATGATTGATAGACAAAATACTTATCCTACATATATAACCACTTTATTTCTATTAAAAGTGTTAAGGTTGAAGAGTTTGTTGGAATATTGTGGACATGTTTTTGAAGTAATACTTCTCTATGATATTTAATTTTACCATTTTTTTAACATTTTCATTATTTTCCAAGTATTTTTATATTATTGATAGATGGTATTTAAGCCATTTAAAATTTAGTATTTTATTTATTGTAACCTTACACTGGTTCGGATGTTTTATTCCAATTTCGAATCGTTATTCTTTGCTGTTCACAACATATGAACCAACATGCGAAAATTGGGTTGTTACTAAAATGGTAGTTCAGGAACAGTACGAAAACGACTTTTTAATGTATTACGAATCAGTTTATATTGCTGCAAAACATCTCTTTTGTAATCACCCCAATTATGTTATGATTAATTAAGTAATTAAATTATTTTTTGCTTTTAGGCATTACAAAAAAGGATCAACTAGAACTTAAGACAGTCCGACACATTTTCCAATATATAATTGCAACTATAATTGGTTACTTCTATTGGTGCTTTGCGTTAGGTTTGTTAAAAAAGTGTAATGAATACCTGTATACATTTTTTTTTCTAGTTCTTTTCATTCAAACATTATTTCGAATAGACAACGCCGACATTCGTTATGAATCCGTTATGAATCAATTAAATAAATACATGAGACACAAGCAGATTCCATTAAAAATGCAACAAAGACTCGTCGATTATTATGAGTTTAGCCTCGGAAAATCTTATTGTCGAGAAGCCACTGTTATCACTTTATTATCAAGTTTTTATTATTTAATTATTTTTTTAATCTTTCTAATATATCATTTTTTAAGAACGCCTTCAACATGAAGTAGTAATGCACGCAACGACAATGATGGCAAAAAACGTCACGTTTTTAAGGGAACTACCCGATGATATAATGTCAAACATTATAGCAAATATGAAGTTGGAAATTTTTCTTCCAGGCGATCAAATTATGACGGCCGGAGCTCCAGCTACGGGAATGTACTTTATTAACACGGGAACGGTGTGCGTTTTTAGTCCATCTGGAAGAGAGATTTGCCATCTAGATGATGGAAGTTATTTTGGTGAAGTCGGTTTAATCACTCAGGAGAAGACAAACATCGCTAATGTGGTCGCTTTGGAAATAACAGAAGTTTATCGATTGGATAAGAAGGATTTTTATGAGCAAATTAGAGGAAATTTACCTGAATTGTACCGAAAAATGGAAAGTAAAGCTGAAAGGAGAAGAGAAAATACGAAAGTTATGGAAGAAATTCATCGAAAACAACAATTAGAAGCTACAATGAGAGTTAAGTTACATTGAAATTGTTTATTTTAAAGAATTTTTATAGAAAATTAAATTAATTGGTAAAATAAAGCTATTAATTTAATTTATATCATAACTATTTTAAAGATATTATTGGTATCAATAAGCTAAGCTAATGTTTTTCTTTCTAGCTAAACTATTGAATGCATATTTTTTCAGTATTCTGTGTTCTACGCGTTTGTTCTGCTCACAAAGGTTATTCTCAGGATTCTTCTATAACACCACATCTCAAATGCTTGAAGCTGGTCGATATTATTTTTCTTAAATGTCTACGATTCCATGCCATATAAAAGCACTGGAAACACATAGCTGCATAATACGTTCTTCAATTTGTTGAACACAATTCTCGCTACGCGATCCATTAGTCTTTGCAGTTCTACTGATGTTGTTGGTTCGTTTACTTTTACTCTGGTTACGCTGCCAATGCTTCCTGTATGATGTTTTCTGAGTTCAAGTTAAAAAGTAATAGCGAAAGAATGCATGTTTGCCTTACACTTCGTTTTATCTTGTTTTGAACCAAAACCCCATCTCTGCCAAAACCTAAACTGAACATAACAGAATTCCGTTAACACGTTTTAACGTTTTGGCATTCAGAAGTCATAACTAAAAAAAATAATTCACAAAGAATTTCACATTCAATGATATGCTGTATTGTGTATGGCTTCTGTGAGGGAAATACTGACAGGTGTATATAAAGGAGAAGTTAGAAAAAAGATTGCAAAGTTATTGTAATTATGTAAAATCGATACTTAAAAAATAAAAATTCGTTAATTTTCTTATAATTAAGCAAGAAAAAGAATTATAACGACAACAAAAGAAACTTATATCCTTGTTTCAATGTTGATTTGGAGAATATGAAGCTTAAAGGATAACAGCGACCGGAAGAAGAAGCACTCAAAAGAGCGACAGCGTCCGAAAAGAGAAACGAAATTTGTAGAACAGCGACTGGACAGAGAAGCGATGCTCACTGGGCAACAACAAACGAAAGGACTACGCTTCTCCTTTCGATTGCTTCAAATTAGAAGAATCAAAATTCTACATTAAGTTTAGGTTCTTTGAGAGACCATAAACTTTGAGTTGAGCAAATGTTTACTTGAGATGGCCTTGATGACCCAGTTTTTTGGATGCCAGAAATGTTGATTCCTACCATCTAAAGACTATTTTAACCAGTTGCAATTGTTGTGAACAAAATCACCATCTAAACCTAAAAACTAAAGTAGTAAAAGATGGACTTCAAAATAGATCTAGAAAAACTATTATAACAGAAAAGTACATAAAGGAGAAGTCAGAAAAAATATTGCAAAGTTATTGTTTATATTTATTTATTTACAGGGTGAGTTACCAGCACATAATATACACGTGTTCCATTTAAAAAACTTATGAAAAAGCAATTTGAAAAACATCAAAATTTACAATGTTTTATGAACACGCTGTATAATGTATCTAATATCTTTGGAGCCTATCATCAACCTACAAGCTTTGGCTATTATCCGACATAGTTTAAAGGCAAAATGAGTAAAAATGTCGTTTTTACACAAGGACAGTAGAATCTAACAGGACTGCTACATTCATTGTAGTGACAACCTGCCCGCAAACTACGTCATACAATTTTCCACGCCCAGCTCTATGCGTTTGCTGTGTATTTTTAGAGGTTATATCGGAGACGTATTCATTTTATTTTTGAAGTTTTATTTTTTTAGACGTATTGATGTCTATCATGTAACCTCTAAATCTCAAAAAACACACAGCAAACGCATCATTGCACTCAATGACAGTTAACAGGGCGTGGCAAATAGTGTGACGTAGAGTGCGGGCAACCAACCCGTAGTGGGCTACAAAAATACAATGCATGTAGCAGTCCTGTTAGATTCTACTGTCCTTGGTTTTTACATAGTTTTTAAAAAGATCCTGCAACGGGCATATTTTGGAAAAACAATTGAATATCTCAGGAAGTATTAACGCTGTGAGTTAGTAACATGTACGGTTAGATAACTAAATTTAATTATATCTTCACAATATAGTCAAATATATAGGGCGTTCCATTTAAACAAATGTAACAAATGCAACACCCTGTAAAAATGAATATAATTTTACGTTATAGAAAATGGCGAATCAAACAACTTTGGTTTAAAACATTTTCTTCTATCTCAAATGATTTAGTAGTTATCGACCGCCGGGATATTGATAACTCACCCTGTATAAAAAAAGCAGAAACTTTAAATGCGTCAATTTTGACACAGAGTGTGGTTTTTGAGGTTTAAAAAAATAAAAATTTAGAAGAAGTAGTTAATTTTCTTATAGGGAAGCAAAAGAGTCATAAGTCATTTATTATTATTATTAATAATTTGTACCTCCTCTGAAAGTTCGTTCTCTACATCTACTCTAGTCACGTGATTTAATTAAATTTGTGTTATTATTCTGATATCATTCGTTATCTTTAATCTTTGATCACTATGGATATTTTCATCAAGTGGTTTCTGTTGCATCTCATCGTCAAACAGTTCCTGGTTTCCCCTTAAAGCCTGGGATTATCTTATAATCATTGTTTAGTAAAATACTCATTTTGTTCGCTTTTTTAATCTCCGCTAATCTTTTAATCTTTTTATGTAGATTGAAATCATCATGCCTCGTTTGCATTTCCTTCAGTTAAGTTGCAAAATTTTTCTTATGGACTAAGCAATATCAAAGATTTCTAAAGGATCAAAAGACGTTCTAAGAATTTTCGAGAATATTTGCATTATTCTGTAGAAATTTGTGGCAGAACTTCAGTAATATCTAAATAATAGAACTATCGAGGAACATTGTGATATTAAGGCAACAAAGAACAAAGAGGGCATAAAGGAATAAACATTTACTTAACATTTACCAAACTCATCACGATATGTTACAATAAAAAACTTTCCAATTAGTTGCTTCAATTTCTACAATTAACAATTTATGATTTATATTACTTTAGGTATTACGTAAAATACGAGACACAAGAAATGATTACTGTGCAGAAATTCCAGCTTGATCGAAGACATGGAACAGTTGCTCTGAATTACTCTGATTAGAGCATTACAGTTCACGACCCTTTAAGTTAATTAAAACATGTGTGTAGTCTCCTTTGCCAAGGAGGCAAGTTTTTCAATATTTTCGTTCTAATAATTCTAATAGTTGAACGATTTTGGTCAACAATTTTAAAAAATAGCATTGAGAAATGTGTTTTGGTAAAAATCCAATTTGAATCAACCAAAACGTGGGAGTGCAACAACATGTTTACAAGCTTGTTGATATTTTTCACGTTTTTATCAAAGTTTGAAGTATTCTTGTTTAATCTAAGTGTTTTTTCCAATACTAAACATTTAGATTTGAACCTCAAAAGGAATAAAAGGAATAAATAATAAGAAAGTCTTAAAAGATATTAAAGCGAAATTAAATAATATTGTCTTCAAATTTTTTTTGATTCAATTTATAGAAAGATACTTAAATTAAATGAAATTATAAATAAATGTGGTAATGAGATTTTTAGATTTATTTCAACATTTTCAACCCGGATAGAGAGATACGAAATACATATTGAGATATAAAAACCGTAAATGGGTAAAAATTTAAAAATTCTTGATACTGCGAAATGTTGGCGAAGTTGAATCATTTACAAGATATTCAAAAACAACAAAATAATAAGAGGAATCGCAGAAAAATGTTCAATTAACTTTCAATTTAATTGAATAACAAATATTTATGGCTGATTTAATTAACTGAAATTAATTTCTAATAAGTGATTATATTACTTATTTGTACATTTACATAATTTTAATTAGGGTTGATTATTAAAGAAATGTTATCTAAATAAATTCATAAAACGATGATGCGGAAGTAAACATTTATTTTATTAAAACAGATAAAGATGTAATTAATCTCTAATTAGGTGCAGGTCCATGCCCTTGATTAGACTTGAATTATTATGTGGGGAAAAATTTTAATACCAAATTAAAAGTAAAAGTTTCAGTGTTGCGAAAACAAAACAAATCCCGTTCAAAAGGTTATCAAATTCTTTAGAGCTGATTTTTTTTCGTTTAACGTTGTAATCACTACCACGAGACTACATTAGCAACAGGAATAATAATAAATTAATTTATTATGTGTTGTAATTCTCTGGAATTCGTCAGATTTTATTTGAAATGTAAATGGTACATGGTACAACCTGAAATATTCTTATTAAACATTGTTAAGATCATCTAAATGGTGAACTTAAATTGAGAATAAAGTTATGCAGACATTTTCGAATTTCTCGAATATTACATGCGATTTAAATGGTTCATAGTACAAAGTGATTAACCCTTGAAATTTGAAACTTAACATTTTAAATTCATTATTGATTACCGAAAGTCCATAAAATGTCTTTTATTAACAAAAGTGTACTTAATAACGAAATGTTTCACTTTTATTGATTTACCGGAAGATGGATTGCTCTTTTGTGTTGACCCTTGATTTGGTATTTTTGTTTGAAACATCGCACACGCCGTGGATAGCCATGAGAAGCAACAAATAAGTACTTATTTTGTTTATTCACGTGATTTACAAAAGACCTCAAGGATTTTCGACCCATAAATAAACTCTCTTATTACATTATCTATTATAAAGATTAATTGTTTATTTAGATTTTCGGCAAATCTTTGATTTAGGATTAAAAGCGTCCTCTTTGCATAATAATATCCGGATGATATCTAAAATTCAAAGATAATAAAAGAAAACTAAGATTATGTTTGCATTTAAGCGATTTTCTTTTAAACGTTGAATTTTTATTTAATTTAATTTTATTTTTTGGGACAAGTTGGATATGGTATTCATTTAAACAGAAATTTTGATGTGTTTAAAATTAATTAGTAAATGTGCGAAAACATGGACTAGACGTTGTTATCAGTTCGTTTTGCATGGCTGGTAATTACTCAAAATATGCAAAACAAAACTTGTTAAATCATAATTGCTAACTTGTGAAATAAACCAAGAGATATCGATCTGGCTATATATTAATGAACTAATATGATGTATTATACCACATTTT